TAGGCAGCACCTGCCATTGATCCTCCACTGTCTGCCTGTGTGCCATATTACAGTACTACCATACTACTACTACCATACTACAGTACTACCATACTACTACTACCATACTACAGTACTACCATACTACAGTACTACCATACTACTACTACTACCATACTACAGTACTACCATACTACTACTACCATACTACAGTACTACCCTGCTGCTGCTGCTGGCTACTGGCTGCTAGCTGCTGCTGCTGCTGGCTACTGGCTGCTAGCTGCTGCTGCCTAGCAGCTGCTACTAACTACATTACAGTACTACCCTGCTGCTACCTCTACTACTACCATATTACAGTACTACCCTACTACTACCATATTACAGTACTACCCTACTGCTACCATATTACAGTACTACCCTACTACTACCATATTACAGTACTACCCTACTACTACCATATTACAGTACTACCCTACTACTACCATATTAACAGTACTACCCTACTACTACCATATTACAGTACTACCCTACTACTACCATATTACAGTACTACCCTACTACTACCATATTACAGTACTACCCTACTACTACCATATTACAGTACTACCCTACTACTACCATATTACAGTACTACCCTACTACTACCATATTACAGTACTACCCTACTACTACCATATTACAGTACTACCCTACTACTACCATATTACAGTACTACCCTACTACTACCATATTACATTACTACCCTACTACTATCTATATTTTTGTTTCACTAGACAAGTATTCCACCAACTTTCATTAGTCTTAATATTGTGTTACCAAAATTTTTATTTGCGTACTGTACACTGTGCTATAATTTGTCCTTTCAGTAAAGGCTTAAGTGCACTCTAGTACAGTGGACCCACAGCTAACGATATTAATCCATTCCTGAAAGCTCATCGTTAGCTGAAATTATCGTTAGCTGAATTAATTTTCCCCATAAGAAATAATGGAAATCAAATTAATCTGTGCAAGACACCCCAAAGTATGAAAAAAAAAAAAAAATTTACCACATGAAATATTAATTTTAATACACACAAACTGACACTTACCTTTACTGAAGATCTGGTGATGATTGATGGGATGGGAGGAGGGGAGAGTGTGGAAGTTCTTAATGTTTAGAAAGGGAATTCCCTTCCATTAGGACTTGAAGTATCAAGTCCTTTTCCAGGGTTACTTCCCTTCTTCTTTTAATGCCACTAGGACCAGCTTGAGAGTCACTGGATCTGTCACACAACATATCTGTCCATAGAGGCCTGTACCTCCCATTCCTTTATGATTTGTCTAAAGGGTTCACAACATTGTCACTGTAATAGTCACCAGCACGGCTTGCAATAGCTGTGTGAGGGTGATTTTCATCCATAAAGGTTTGCACTTCAAGCCACTTGGCACACATTTCCTTAATCTCTTTCTTCATATCCATAGTAATTCTCATCCTTTTTCCTGCAGGGATGGCACTAGAAGCTTTCTTGGGACCCATGGTGACTTACTTTGCAGGTACAATCACTAAAAACGCTGTGATAATATGAAATGTTCTGATTGTATGTGTGGATGCGACCGCACTGGCTGGCTTGTAAACACTGGCACCCACGGGACAACTGAGGCACCTCAGGCCACACGTGGATGTGTCTCAAACAAATCGCGTTGGGTGAGTTTTTTAGCGTTAGCTGAGGCAAAATTTTTGCGTTAAAATGTATTGTTAGCTGGATTTAACGTTAGCTGATGCCATCGTTAGCTGAGGGTCCACTGTATACTGAGACTTCATTATAAGGGCTAAGTATACTGTAGTATAGTAAACTTTCAATTTAATGGGCCTATATTTAATGAACTTCAAAAATTTGCTGGATCGTTTGATTCTGAAACATCAGACAAAATCAGATGTTTGTTATTGATTGTTACAATCACGTTTCATTATATCGAAGATTAACTCTTGTTTTTTTCTTTGTTCATGTTTATTTTTTTATACAGCATGTGTATTTATTTCTGTTAGCATAATGTGTGGTGATTCACAAAATTGTAATTTATAGTGTATGGTACTGTATACTTAGCATTTAGGAACCAGTTAAATTTTTACAAACGTTCATCCACGGTTGTGAACGTGTGTGAAACATAAGTTCTTTGTGACATTGATTTCTTTTGGAAAATGAGTATTTTTTGAAAAAAAAAAAAAAAAAAAAAAAAGTTGGAATATCAGGAATACAATTTGTTTGTAAGTTGGAATAACAGGAATACAATTTGTTTGTAAGTTGGAATATCAGGAATACAACTTGTTTTAAGTTGCAACTCCCTCTGTGTAAACCCAGCAGCTTTCAATTTCCCAAGTACAGTACTTCTTCACGAGCATAATAATAATGATAATAATAATAGATGTATAACCACCTTTGACTAGTGCCAATTAAATATTCTTGAAAGGATTTTCACCTTGTTTATAAGAACCCTTGACTGGTCACTTATTTTAAGTGTGTGTGTGTAGAATTCAGTGTAGCAAGAATGTGTTAGATGGAAGTGAGTGGAGACAAGTAGTTTCCATGATTTGGTTTGCTGTTAGAGTGTATGCAAGGTGACATTTAGGAAGAGATCAAGGGAAGTCAGCCGGAATTGAGGTCTGGAAGTGCAAAGTACAGTGGCTGCACTCTGAGAGACGCAAAGTATAGTGGCTGCACTCTGAGAGACGCAAAGTACAGTGGCTGCACTCTGAGAGACGCAAAGTATAGTGGCTGCACTCTGAGAGACGCAAAGTACAGTGGCTGCACTCTGAGAGACGCAAAGTACAGTGGCTGCACTCTGAGAGACGCAAAGTATAGTGGCTGCACTCTGAAGGATATATAGTGATGTTGCAGTTCAAAGAGTCATTTGAATTGTGATAGCTATTTAAATTCAAGTCTGGCAAGACAGCTATTGAATGAACAGTGGTGAATGTGTTTACATCACTGGGGTACCATACCTTGGTGGGAAACAGCCTGTAGTTAAAAAATTATAGTAATGCTTCTTACTGTCAAAATCAGCCTTGAAAAGAAAACGAAAATTTTCCTGATCTGATTTTCATTTCTTTCAGATCTTCAAATAAACTGACTTCCTCCTACTGTTTTATTTTGACTCTCACAGATTTCACACTTGTTACGATGTTTGATAATGGTTAATGATGGACTGAAATGGTGTTTAGTTTTTGTTTTCAGTTTTGTGGGTTAGTTATAAATCTTAAACGATAAAAATGCACAATACTGTGACTGGAACAATACACAAATAACTCGCACATAGGAGAGAGAAATGATGTTCCCACTTGGACAATATATTAACTAGTCTGGACTGAAACGTCATAAGTTTCTTTCTCCTGTGTGAGGGTTATTTGTCCATTGTGAATCTCCATCCTTTATATTGTGACTTTTCTTCTCTAATGATTTTTGTTGAGATAGGTCATGTGATGACCTAGGTCAAGTGAGAAGTTTTACTTACTTTCTTGTACTTTCTAATGAATAAAGGGTTAGAGATTTGCAGTTTTTATGTATAGTTTTACCCCAATTACCATCCCAAGGTCAGCATCATTGTTAAAACTTGTATGTTTATTACTCTATGATGGAATTGTCTAGGTTTAACCCCTGGCCTGGTAAAACAAAGGTCAGGTTTTCCTTACATATCTACTGCCCCTCCTCACCTAGTAGTAAATATAATGACAATAACTCATTGATGTAACAAATTTCTGAAATGCATTAAGAGATAAAATCCTTTATTTTCAGTATTTAATGCAGTATATCTGTGAATTCTGCACACTATTAGAGGTACACATGAGTACCTCTGTAGTGTAAAGCACCCTTCTGGCAAGACAGTGATGGAGTGAATGATGGTGAAAGTTTTTCTTTTTCGGGCCACCCTGCCTTGGTGGGAATCGGCCAGTGTGATAATAAAAAATAAAAAAATAAATGAGTACATTAGTGTTTTTTCTGCTTTTTTAACTTTATTCTGATTTAACATGCACTTATTCGGTTTTATTAGTACATTAAAGCATGAGTTTACTGTACCTGTGTCTTAGCTGGTTGTCGTAGGTTACATAAAAAAATGCTATGCAAATGTATTAGAAACTAGTGTTGGAGGTCATGACCCGAGCCACATGTCAGTAAGAACATTTGACCTGTTGCAGGATGGAAATGTTGAGTAAAATGTTTTTATGCAGTGCTCTCTTTTTATTGATGATGAAACAAGTTTCCTAACATTGGATCTTTTAGTTATTGTTTCTGTGCTTGGCAGTCATCATGGTTACAGATATTAGTGTACCGGAGTGTTTAATTAATGTCTAACTCTAGTATTATACTTTTGATGAGTTGTGAGAGTTTTTCTACCCCTGGAGCCTGGTCATGGGCCAGGCTAATGGTAGTTCTCAATAAACAGTTGACATAGGGGTTATTTATAATTTCTGATGCACTTTAGAGACTTCCCTCAAAGAGGGTGCCCTGTCACTGATGAAGGTGCTTGATTCAAGGAATTGCAGATAACCTTTCCTTCCTTGGATCAAACCTGATTACTTCCCATTCCCCAATGCTTATAAAATAAATAACCCTTATGGGTTTTTCAGTTTCCTATAAATATAATGATAATAATTCCCTCCTATTCCCAAGCATTTTGTGACCCCATCAGAATTTTTTCATTTTTTAAGTTTTTTTTTTTTCTTAGAAACTTCATTTTTTCACTAAAGCTGGAATATATGTATATATATTTTTAATTTTGAATAAAAGTGCCAATGTACTGTATTTTCTGGCATATAAGGTGAACCTTTTCTTTCCACAAAAAGTCTTGAAAAATCAGCCTGCATCTTATATGCTCAAGGTCAGGGTCAAGGATAGCCTTTGTGTTACACTTTAGCAGTTGCTTACCAACGTTACATTACAGTTGCTTTTAAACATTGTCTTATATACTGGTGCGCATATTATGCCATAAAATACTGTAATATTCTATGTCTGTGTGTGTTAAACAGGTGTCACAATGTTCTTCAGGTTTATCAGTGGCATCCTCTGCTCCTACTCCTAGTTCAGCCATCATGAGCTCCCTGGCTTCCTACACTTCAGAGGCCAATTACGACAACTCCTTCAATTCTCTTCTGTCGCTCCGTAAGTCTGTAAATTTCTGCCACCCAAATGCTGATGCCAAGCTTAAGCTTGCCCAAAATACTCTGCATAATCATGGGCTTTCTGCATGCATTCACCCATTTCTGTGTAAACAATGTATCGTGTAAACAGTGTATCATGTGCAAACAAACTTGAATTTGAATGTATAACAATAATACAAACAGGTGTGTGGTGGTTATTATTCAAGTAATGTTTCCCATTGAGGAGGTATGGTGTACTCACTTAGTTGAGGTTGAAGGTTTCAAGTCCAAGCTCCTGGCCCCATGTGTGACTGGAAGTTTTCCTGTTGAGGAGGTATGGTGTGTGATGAAGTTTTCCCGTTGAGGAGGTATGGTGTGTGATGAAGTTTTCCCATTGAGGAGGTATGGTGTGTGATGAAGTTTTCCCGTTGAGGAGGTATGGTGTGTGATGAAGTTTTCCCGTTGAGGAGGTATGGTGTGTGATGAAGTTTTCCCATTGAGGAGGTATGGTGTGTGATGAAGTTTTCCCCTTGGGGAGGTATGGTGTGTGATGAAGTTTTCCCCTTGGGGAGGTATGGTCTGTGATGAAGTTTTCCCCTTGGGGAGGTATGGTGTGTGATGAAGTTTTCCCCTTGGGGAGGTATGGTGTGTGATGAAGTTTTCCCGTTGAGGTATGGTGTGTGATGAAGTTTTCCCCTTGGGGAGGTATGGTCTGTGATGAAGTTTTCCCCTTGGGGAGGTATGGTCTGTGATGAAGTTTTCCCCTTGGGGAGGTATGGTCTGTGATGAAGTTTTCCCTTGGGGAGGATTATTGGGGTGTGATGAAGTTTTCCCTTGGGGAGGTATGGTGTGTGATGAAGTTTTCCCCTTGGGGAGGTATGGTGTGTGACGAAGTTTTCCCCTTGGGGAGGTATGGTGTGTGATGAAGTTTTCCCCCTTTGGGGAGGTATGGTGTGTGATGAAGTTTTCCCCTTGGGGAGATTATGGTCTGTGATGAAGTTTTCCCCTTGGGGAGGTATGGTCTGTGATGAAGTTTTCCCTTGGGGAGGTATGGTGTGTGATGAGTTTTCCCCTTGGGGAGGTATGGTGTGTGATGAAGTTTTCCCCTTGGGGAGGTATGGTGTGTGATGAAGTTTTCCCTTGGGGAGGTATGGTGTGTGACGAAGTTTTCCCTTGGGGAGGTATGGTGTGTGATGAAGTTTTCCCCTTGGGGAGGTATGGTGTGTGATGAAGTTTTCCCCTTGGGGAGGTATGGTGTGTGATGAAGTTTTCCCCTTGGGGAGGTATGGTGTGTGATGAAGTTTTCCCCTTGGGGAGGTATGGTGTGTGATGAAGTTTTCCCCTTGGGGAGGTATGGTGTGTGATGAAGTTTTCCCCTTGGGGAGGTATGGTCTGTGACTGGAAGTTTATCAAGTTTCTGAAGGACTGGGAAGTATGGTTAAGATGTTGTGATATAATAAAGTTTTGTACATCTAAAAACTGCTACTTAATAACCCCTTTGTTTAGTTCTTAAGTAGTCTTCAAGCATTAGAATTAGTCTGCCCAAAATGCACCCCCAGATGCTTTCTTTTGTGCCTAACAATGTAGTTTACATGTAAACTACATTACCAGTATACTGCAGAAAAGAAAGTATTTGTATTTGTGTCAGTAATAATCCACATGGAGATAAACACAGGAGTTGATATTTTACTCGACCATTCTGGGGTCCTTT